AAAGTGTCAAAATTTTGTATGGCCACCATTATTTTCCAACACTGCCTTAATCCTCTTGGGCACAGAGTTCACCAGAGCTTCACCAGTTGCCACTGGAGTCCTCTTCCACTCTTCCATGACAATGTCAAGGAGCTGGTGGATGTTAGAGACCTTGAGCATCTCCACCTTCCGTTTCAGGATGCCCCACGGATGCTCAATAGGGTTTAGGTCTGGAGATATGCTTGGCCAGTCCATCACCTTTACCCTCAGCTTCTTTGGCAAGGCAGTGGTGGTTTTGGAGGTGTGTTTGGATCGTTATGTTGGAATACTACCCTGTGGCCCAGTCTCTGAAGGGAAGGGATCATGCTCTGCTTCAGTATGACACAGTACCTGTTGGCATTCATGGTTCCCTCAATGAACTGTAGCTCCCCAGTGCTGGCAGCACTCATGGAGCCCTAGACCATGACGTTCCTACTACCATGCTTGTCTACAGTCAAGCACTTGTCTTTGTGCTGCTCACCTGGTTGCCGCCACACACGCTTGACACCATCTGAACAAAACAAGTTTATCTTGGTCTCAGAGGACCACAGGACACGATTCCAGAAATTCATGTCCTTAGTCTGCTTGTCTGCAGCAAAACATTTGCGGGCTTTCTTGTGCATCATCTTTAGAAGAGGCTTCCTTCTGGGACGACAGCCCTGCAGACCAATTTGATACAGTGTGTGTGGCATATGGTCTGAGCACTGACAGGCTGACACCCCCCACCACTTCAACTTCTGCAGCAGCGCTGGCAGCACTCATACATCTATTTCCTAAAGCCAACTTCTGGATATGACACTGAGCACAGGCACTCAACTTCTTTGATCAACCATGACAAGGCCTGTTCTGAGTGGAAACTGTCCTGTTAAACTGCTGTATGGTCTCTTGGCAATCTTCTTACAGTCTAGGCCATCTTCATGTAGAGCAACAATTCATTTTTTTCAGATCCTCAGAGTTCATTGCCATGAGGTGCCTTGGCCAACTTCCAGTGACCAGTATGAGAGAGTGAGAGAGATAACACCAAATTTAATACAACTGCTCCCCCTTCACACCTGAGTCCTTGTAACACTAATGAATCACATGCACCAGGGAGGGAAAACGGCTACTTGGGCCCAATTATCACTTAGGGGTATATACACTTTTGTTGCCAGGGGTTTAGGCATTAATGGCTGTGTGTTGCGTTATTTTGAGAGGACAGCACATTTACACTGTTATACAAGCTGTATATTCACTACTTTACATTGTAGCCAAGTGTCATTTCTTCAGTGTTGTCACATGAAAAGATATACTTAAATATTTACAAAATATGAGGGGGTGAACTCCTGTGATATACTGCATTTCTATGGTGCCACATGGAATTTAAGACTGAAGGTTGCCATCCTATATGCAATTATTGGGCTCAAAGTCACTTCTTCGAAGTTTTGTTTCTCTTATATGCATGCCCCTGTAGTTCTACCATAAGTCTTCTCAGAAACTTAGCGAAAAAGGTTTTCTAAAAGAGGTACTGTAGATAAAGAATAATTTTGGATCCAACCTTTCCTACTTCTTTGTAATTTTACAAGATTCCCCCCAAAATGATGCAGGACTTTCTTTTCTAGAAGTCACTTTAATTCCTCTCAGCATGTATATTTATGATGTTTATAATTCTACTACCTTTTATGATGCTTTGCACTTCTTCAATTGGGACAACTTGTTTGCTATTTCCTGATCCTTGTTATTGGCCTCCTTTCAATAAATACTGTACTGGCAACTTTCTTAAAAACAAATTATGCAACTTGATCAGATTAGCAGTTGAATTTCTAGGTCATCATTAGTGAATGTTTAATTTGTCCACTACCTCTAGAAGTTGATCCCTATAGGGCTGGGGTATCTTCCACCCCAGTCCACTCCCTCACTCTGTTTGGGGGCGTTTATTCAAAAATAACTGGAGAAGTCCCTGCAGTTTTCTCAGAAACATTTCACTGACTTCTTCCTGCCTCTGAGAGGGAGTGTAAGAAACTCAAGACAGCCACTGATCTTGTGTGTAAAGCAGGAGCAGAACAAATGGTTTCCAATTTCTAGCCCGATGTCTTTAACCACTAGAGCACGCTGACTCTCAAGGTCTTCCTTTGGCCCCCATAAAAAGGTATTGAAGTGTATGCCCAACCCAGCAAATTCTAAGCTCGTCACGGGTGAACATGACAGCAACAACCTTGTTTCCTGAGAACCGGCTAAGCGCTTTCTTAAATTCGCAGCCTTCTCTACTATCCCCATCTTTAAGACGGAGCCGAATGCGGCTACCAGTTCTCTCCGAAAAAGTAACATTTGCTCTGGGCTGCGGAAGAACCGGCCTCGCGGGAGAGAGGCTTCCCTTACCTCCGCTTCCTTTTGCGCGTTGCAAGCTCTTAGCTCCGCTTCCAGCTGCCGCTCCCAGCGACTTCTCCAGCCGACGCAGCTGTCATCAGCGTCTCGGAAGTAGACTTTCCATGCAATGAAAAGGAGCGAACCGAGAGCTGCTACCGCGGCGCCCAGCACCAGGCTCAGGTGTCGGAAAGCGGCAACAGCAGCAGCCATGGGCGGGTCAGGCAACCGGCCTCCAGCGACCTCCGCTCGGCCAGAAGCTCCTCCGCCTTACTGCCCGGTTTCGCCGGTCCTGGCCTTTATTCGGCCACGCGTCCACCTCCGGCGCAACCGAGCTTAGCGGCTCGCCTTCGAGGAAGTCTCCGGCAGGAGATCCAGGTGACCGGCCGCTCCCGTTCAGTCTAAGGCAGCAGCGGGAGAATATCCCGGCCGGTGGCAACGGCAATAGCAACAGCAGCAAGCTATGGGCCGAGTGTCGTGACGTCACTCACCAGTTAAAGGGGGTGGACCTTCCACCAAGAGTTCCATGGTTAGGAGTTGGCTTCAAGCTGATATGCTTCACCTGTTGCGTGCTAACTTCGAAGCAAGGTGTTCCGTGCTGATTTGAATGACAGGAACAAACTGTCCTGCCTATACCTATTTTGGTTACAATTAGGAGCTATGTTTTCCCCATTGCCAGCATATGTACACTTTCCTGCTTATATCCCTAGCTTTATCAGTAGTTAAATACTGAACCATTTTGTTCTGTGGCTGGGATTCCAAAAGGGAGGAATGTTTCTCCATTCTGCTAAGAAATGTCACTGATGAGGGTGGGGGGGTCATTTGCATGTAAAAGAATGCACCCCACCTTGATCTAACATCTTATCTACTTGATTCAATCTCAGCCTCGATAGCAAACTTTATTGCTTCCCCTTTCTCCCAATTCTACATGTCGGGTATAAAGCCTATCAAATATTTGGATTCAGGATTGCAGTCCTGAACACACTCATTTGTAGCTTCAATTTATTTCCAAGTAAATACTGTATGAAGTAGGTAGGAATTTGGCTACTGCAATATTAGGAACGCTGGCTTAGCAATGTGGTTAGTTCAATGGGTGTAACATGAGATGTTTAACTTTGAAATGACAAGATGCAAAGGAGGTGTAAGGTATTTTTATTACACACAAGTAACCTGAATATCCCGAACAATAAAAGAAACAGGTCTATTTGAACCAGTATTCAGGGTCAGCCCCAGTATAGCACTAGCATTCAGTGTTAACTTTCACCAATTGCATTTAAGCATGATAAAAAGCACCTTAGATAATATTATTCTGCAGAGTTCCCTTGATGTTGCTACAGACACAATACAAAGGCTAAGCAGAAGCACATATATGGATATGCAGATTTAACAAATTACTTCACAAGAGAATAGATTCTTCTTATATCCATGATGGGTAAAAAAAATATTTGGAAAGAATTCCAGAAACCATGCTCCATATTATTTCTACCTTGATTCATATGCTTTAGATATATCTAGATTTTTTTTTTCCAAAAGGGAAGTGCTTTGAGTTGAGAGAATAATAGACTCAGGAAATGCTGAAATGTTAAAAATAGTTGTCTTCATTTACTGAGCTGTAGCAAAATCAGTGTGCTCTAATATGTCCCTGGAAATCTGGGTGGCAGATGCTCTGTTCTGGAGCATCTTAGAAGGGCTTAGAAGGTAACTGCTGCCTACCTGCCTTTTCCACATATGTACTGGGGGGATTTTGTCATATTTTTTTCCTTCTGTGACCCCCTCAGCCAAAAGCAGCCCATTTTTAAACTTCAGCCTTTTCTTTTGCCACTCTCTTCCTGCCACAACGAATTTAGTCTTATTGGAGAGTTCTCCTGCTGACAGTCAACATATTCTTCCAATCTGCTGAATTGGAAGGAATTAAAAGGGTTGCAGTTAAAATGGCCACATTAAAATTCTTCATGACTTGCAAATGTGCCATCACTTCTAATCAGCTTTCTAGTTTCAAACTTTAATGATACTTACTATGCACTTTTGTTATCTCGGCTGAGTAACTACATGCACCAAGTATGCTGTATAAAGGTATAAAATTGACTGCAATTACACAAAACCAAGAACAAAGGAGTATTACATGGGGGTTAGGCTTGAGCTCCTGAAAGAAAGGCAGTAAAGAGAACCATAAACGTTACACTACCCACTATTTCATAGGAAACAAGTTTTACTATTAGTCCCCTCCCCCCACTTTTAATTCCTTGACTCCTGGCGACTCAGTCCCTGCATTTTTCTTGGCAAGATTTTCCAACATGATTTGTCACCATATCCTTCCTAAGGCTGAGAAAGAATGAATGACCCAAGAAAACCCCGTTGCTTTGTGCCTCAGGCAGGACTTGGCACTCACAATTTCCCGCGTTTTGGCTTGAATACCTTAATCCCGATCCCAGCGGCTCGATTTCCCGCTAGCCCCATTCAACTCGAGGAAGCTTCATCTCCACCCCCAAATACACACACCTCGGCCACGCCGCAAACATCCCTCCCCGCCCCCCACGAAACGCGACCAACAGAGTTCTCGCAAGACTCTCGGCTTAGGCGCTATGGCGCCCCCTACTGGCGAGTCTAAGCCATAGAAATGCCTTGGTGGGCGGGCTGGATCTGTCAGCTCATTTCTTCCCAGCTTCATTTGCGTCATGGCGGCTCGGGGCCTCGGCGGCTCAGGCCTGCTTGAGCGGAACCTATCGTGCCTTCTTCTTCTTCTTCTGACCGACCTGCGGGCCCGGCAGGCCTGTTAGTACCGGGTGGGGGAAACCAGCGCGGGGCTGCAGGCAGCCCAAGGCAGGTACGTCCTCGAAAGGCGGAGGCGAACGAGGGGACGGGGGGGGCTGAGCCTGGCGGCCAGCGAAGGGCGAGCTTTGCCGGGGGGGAGGTGGCCCGCGGCAAAGGGGGGGCTAAGCCGTGGAAAAGCGGGTTGGGGTAGAGCCGTGACCCCCGAAAGCTCCCTGCCGGGAAGCGAAACGTGGAGGAGAGGCCGAAGATACCGGGATGAAACCGGAATCAGCCGGCTCCTCCTTCGAGGCGCAGTGGCTGCTGGGCAAACACGCCTCTGCCGTGGCGCCCTTCGGCTCAGGGCTTGTTTTCTCGCTGCCGAAGATTTTAAAGGGCGGGAGCCTCGCGGCTCCTCTCTCGGCACGCTTAGCGTTGGGTGTTTTCGTGTTTTCCTTCCGCTCCTCTGCTCGCCCCGGAAAATACGTTATCCCCTTTTTCTAGCAGCTACTAAGTCATGTCGCAAGGGTGCTTTGTTTTCAAGAGGCAACTGGAGTTTCTTGCTTTTGTTTGAAGACATTTCGCTTCTCATCCCAGAAGCTTCTTCAGCTCTGACTTGGATAGCGGGGAGTTGGAAGGATTTATATACTCCTTGCAGCCAGCCATTTATACGCGCAAGGAATAGAAATCCTTCCATTCCCTACCATCTCTACTCAACGCTTGAAGAAACTTCTGGCATGAGAAGCGCAAATGCCTTCAAAGAAAAACTAGGAAGTCCAAATTGCCTCCTGAAAAAAGCATCTTTGGGACAAAGGGTGACTGAGAACCTCCACATAGATTTTCTGCTAGGTAATGGTTAATAACCTAAACAAAGCTGATCTTTAAAAAAAAACACAAATCAATAAATTGCACAATAATATGAAACGCCACATTTTCTTCCCTGTTTCCAAATTCATCAAGAAGCTGCTGAGCAGAAAGGATCAAAAGGCAGATTAGGCAATAGTACTGTAGTTGGTGGAGTGCAGCCCGGGAGTCAAGGGGATGATGGCCTTCGGAAGCTCACAACCCTGGATGGCGATGGCTCCTTTCCAGTGCTGCTTTCCAGGAGCCAGCGTTTAGGACATGCTTCTTTGGTTGAAGGGATAATAAACAGCCACTGATTGTAGCAGATTTTATACCAGTTTATATATTTTCAGATTACATACATAAGAGGTTAGTCAACAGCATATTGTCTGGATCATTTTATTTATATATAGTTGATTGTAGCAGCTTTGATACTTAGGTCCCCTGTGAACATGTTGAGCTAGTCCCCTCTTAAAACTGTCTAATTTGGCTTTTATAATAACAGAGGTGAATTCTTCAGTTTAATAATGCAGCATGTTATGTATGGATAGTGGTGATTCATTGATTGCTTCTGTGCCGTCAGGTGGTTTTCGATTCCTAGTGACTACCTCAATATACTTTTCACCTTCATTTACTTTCTATGAAAAACAGATTGCAATTGTAAAGCTTTCCAGTGACTGCAGTATTTAAAGTTGTTTTGCATTATTAGATGAAGGGTTGCATTAGAATATATATGCGCTTTATGCTCTGAGGCTCACATGTTGCTGCCCTGTTCTTTAAAGAAGCTTTGCCAAAACTTCTGATGGTTATTTTGTTTATATTCCTCTTATTTGCATTTGTCAATTCATAAAGGGCTTGGTTATGCAGTTTTTTTAAACTGCATGTAAGACAGACAAATTGTTATGAGATCATAAATGACTACTGTAAGGTTTGGATATGTTTTGTACATAATGCAGAAACTTGGTGATGGGTGACTTTATAATCAAATTAAATTCCTTTGCACACCAGAAAGTAAAATCTATAACTTTGATCAATAATGATAATGGTAGAATAATAGATGACGGACTGTAGTTATTATTACATATCCAGATATTGCTACTATTACTTTATTAAGTATACCCATATCATTCTTAGAACAGTGCTGTGGGGGAATATGTCTTGGGTTTCCCTCTTAGTAAATCTCTCTTAAAATAGCAATCTATGTATTGAATTATGTGCTTATATTGGTTTGTGAGGTAAATATTGTGTTGGGTTTTAATTATGTGATAATTCAATAAGATTTCTAGTTTAATACCCTTACTTTAAAGATCTTTTACTTTAAAATAAGCGTAAATGCTGCTTCATGTATTTGATCATCCTTATTTTTATGATTGATCAACATCGTTTACATTCAGTATTAAAACCATCCTATTGTGCTAAGCTTACTATGTTAACTAAAATTGAAGATGCTGGGATAAATATAAAAACAATGCATCATCATGATGATTGCACATAGAAATAGGATTATGAAATCAACTATGATTAAAGTTATATAAATAGCAATAGCACTTAGACTTACATACCACTTCACAGTGCTTTACAGCCCTCTCTAAGTGGTTTACATAGTCAGCATATTGCCCCCAACAATCTGGGTCCTCATTTTACCGACCTTGGAAAGATGGAAGGCTGAGTCATCCTTATGCCTGGGGTGGTTTGAATTGCCTAATTGTAGGCAACCGGCAGTCAGCAGAAGTAGCCTGCAGTTCTGCAGTTTAACCACTGTGCCGCTATTATACCAAAATAACTAACACAAATAATACAAAAATCTTACATGTATTTCAAATCTGAATATTAATAGTATGGCTAAAAACTATAATGCAAAAATGTAGGTAGAACCTGGAAAGGGATATATGTAGTATGCTAGATTCTGATTATGCTGTAATTAATATGCTGAGTGCTATAATGCTATGCCATTTTTCCTGCACTAATATACTTTAATCATATGGGTTTGCGTTTTTTCCAACTGTCCTTTTCTCCCCTCCCCAACCAAATTGAGGTTTCTTTGATATTACTACTAGTAGCTAGATATTTTAGTTGTATTATCATATAAGAAGTTGCAGGATCTCCAGATGAAAGCCATTTCATGATTGGAGAATTTCACAGATGTCTTTAAAGTAGTTAAAGCAATTTTAAGGATACCTAATAATACCTAGGAAACATAAAACATCTGCTGCAATGTTTCTACTGCTTTAATTTTTTAAAAAAATTGCTTCTTGATTTTTGTTAGTCTTTCTGCATGGAAGCTCCTGGGGATGATTTGATAGTTTCAGCTTCAGCAAGAGAATGCCCTATTTTGACATCTTTCTGTCTTCATAACTTGTGGTAAGATATTTTGGCCTTTATTTTTTTATCATAATCAACTTCATTAGGATAATACCTGGATAAATTAATTTGTTGTTTCATATTGCTGCCTTCAAATTAAATATTAGGCAGCATGCATTCTTAAAAAAAAATTAGAACTTTATTGTGATATTCTTGGCTTTATCATAAGCCAAGATATTTTATTCTAGTCTAATTATTACAGACCAAAATATCTTATATTTTTATTAGGTAACAGCAGTCCTGTCCTGGATTTCTAAATAGTGAAGCATCTGGAATTACAATCATGACTTCAAGACGAACAGATGTTCCTGGTAAAACTAATTGATACAAAATTCATGTATATTGAAATACGGTGCAGCAGTGATTGTAAAAATACTTAGTTTCCAATTAAAAGTTTTAGAAGGGTTTTATAGTACTGCTTTAAGGAGGGCTTACTTACATCTAGGAGACTGTATAACAAAACCAAAGGCTAGTGAAATGGATGGCTAGACCCTTGTCCTGAATTTATTCAAGGATAATTGAATACATTGTGAACTGCATATAATAAAGGGTTTCAGAGAACTATTAGATTAGGCAAGAGCAGTATTACAATGGCATGTTTAAAGTAACTGAAGACGGAAAAACAAAGTCTTCCATAAGATTTCTGAATTCAGAAAAAGAGTCCAACCTCAAATTGGTATGCTAATGGACACTAATGGATAGATAGTAATTGATTCAAAGATCAATCAAGGATAAAAGGTATATACTAAAGTACAGTACAAATGTACAGCGATGTCAACATCCAATATAACTTTAGAACTATTACCTGCTTAAAGGAACATCAAATACTAGAAATATGTCAACGCATAGAAGAAGATTTAAATATCCAGCAAATCTGGAGAATGACACTGTTTTTGTCTGGGGACTAAAGATCAGTATCGGGTTCCTAAGCTCTTCAGCTCATTAATCCCTTCATGAAGTTTCAGATTGTTCATTGATCCCCAAACATTTATTTTATGAAAATGATTTAATAAATATTACTTTAATGCTATTAGGCACAGTAATCATCACAACAATAATCATCAAGCCTTGTGGGTTGATATTGGCCATTTTGTGGAACCCTGATCTATATTCTAATACCAGAAAAATGAGACATAAATGAGTATGCAAACTATTGTATCCATATAATATCCATAATTTAACATCCTAAAAATGATACTTAGAATCATCCAATGCCAATGAAAAGGTAAAACAGTAAAAGTTCAAATTATTATGTGAAATCTCAATCTCTGTCCTTAGCTATAGAACATGGCTCTGAAAGCCTTCTAGGGAAGATATCCCATCCAATTGGAATGAATCGTCGGGCATTCAATTACGATGATGCCTTGGAGGATACAGCACCAATGACTCCTCCTCCTTCAAACATGACCACCAATATCTTATGGAAAGAACCAGTCATTCCAGATCACAAATATGAAAAGATTTCCCAGGTATGCAGTTTGTTGAGCTAATAAAGAGATAGCATGAGATTTCTAATGACACTGTCCTGTTGGAGGGAATGGTGGTTTGTCTCCCAATGAACCATTAAAATTAAACATACTGAAGCATTTGATTGGAAGAGCGGATAGATTTTTTGAAAGCCATACATCGATAGAGGTAAATTTTTAAAAATGACAAGAGTTCTGCACTGATCAGACTTGCTAAAATGTTTCTTATGAAATGAGTGATAGACAACAATGGAGAGCAAGTATAGAGTACTTTAGAGTGCTTTGAACAAAGGCATGTATTTGAATTGAAACCTTTTATATGAAAAAGAATGCACGTAGTCCCTTGACTTCCAGCCACAATTGGGATGGGAACATCTGCCACTAAGCAATGCAGTCATAAAGTGAGTCATCAAGTGACTAATTGTATGACCTTTTTTTTGCTTAAGGTGGTTAAGCAGATTTGATTTCCCCCCTTGACTTCGCTTGTCAGAAGTCAGTTGGGAAGGTCAGACATAGTAATCACATAACCTCAGGATGCTGCAACCATCATAAATACTTGCTGGTTGCCAAGGGTCTGAGTCACGGTTCTTGGCTGTGGGGCACTGTAATTCAGGTAGTCCTTGACTTACAGCCGTTCACTTACTGACCATTCAAAGTTACAACGGCACTGAAAAAAGTGACTTATGATCATTTTTCAGACTTACGACCAATGCAGCTTCTTCATAGTCACGTAATTTGCATTTGGATGCTTGACAACGGATTCCCATTTATGATGGATGCATATGGGTCCCTGGGTCATACGATCCCCTTTTGCAACCTTCTGACAAGCAGTCAATGGGGTAGCCAGATTCACTTAACGACCGGGTTACTAATTGAACAGCTGCAGTGATTCATTTAACAAATGTGGCAAGAAAAGTCATAAAATGGGACAAAACTCACTTAACAAATTTCTTAACTTAGCAACATAAATTTGGGGCTCAATTGTGGTCGTAAGTTGAGGACTACCTATTGTAAATGCGAGGACTGGTTGTAAGTGATTTTTTTTCAGTACTGTTGTAACTTCAGAAGGTCACTAGACAAATAGATGAAAGTTGAGGATTATATGTCTTCTACAATGAGTATAAATAAACTGTTCTGAAACTTTATTTTGCAAACTTCAGATTAAATTAAAGGAAATTAGATTAAAATTTGCAAGCCCAGTTTACTCATTCTGTAAAGTCTTTATTACTGTTTTAATATAGAAGGAATTGATACTTATAATACATATATGAGCTATATGAAGATATGAAATTTATAAATGAGCTATACTAGGCTTAAATAACTAAGATAACTATGTTACTCAATTTTAACTTTGTATCTTTTATACAACTAAGAGCTTTTCTTAATAAGGGAAGGAAGCAGTTGTGATTGTCATTCTGATATATGGTCTACTTTTTAATAAATAGTGAGTAGTCTGAAAATTGTGCTTGTTTCTTTAAGCAGGAAAACTAATGAGAAAGAGAATTGCAGAAAAAGCCTTTTTAGTTATTTCTGTAGCTAGACATTTTCTAGTGGAAATAAAAGAAGCTTCTTTCTTGTTATCGGATGGCTACAAGAATGGTGGTTTCAAAATGTTGTATAGTGTTTCACATTGTAGGCAAGAGAGTGGAAATATGCCAGCTCAAGATTTTTGTGTTCAATGCAAATTCCAAAACTTTCGCCCATGAGATCAGGAGCTGAAATTTTAGCTGAAATTCTCCTAATTTTGTCTCTTTTTCCAAAATTGCATCTGACTTCCTCTGTATAGGTTGGGGAAGGGGAGACTAGCATGCATGCCTCTGCCAAAATCCCCCCATCTTCATCTGAGGGGAACAAGACACCAGTAGTGAAGGCCAAAGCCACCCACATCATCATGAATTCTCTTATTGCAAGTAAGAGCTCTTGCATTTCTTTGGTAGGCAAATTAATTTCTGCAGAGAATTTTGCAATAACTTGTATCCCATTTATTTATGAATTATTTCTGACCTTCTTCTGAATTCTTTATTTATTAAATATATAGACACCTATCTCATCCCAAAAGTGACTATGGGCAGTGTATAACAAAACTAAAACAGCGAATAAATACACAAAGCCACTTATTAATTAATACACATTAATAAAAACGATAACAAACAGAACAAGACAAGGAAATGGCAGCTGAAGGGACGGAGCTATCTTACAGTGCCCTGGGATCCTCAGGCTTGCTGGCCTAACCAAGTCTTAAGGGACCTTTGAAAACTCAGAAGTGGTGAAAGCAGCCTTCTCTCAGTGTAGAGAAGATTCCACAGTGCGGGCACCCACCCTCTAGGGCCTGCCAAACATAGTTTCATAGCAGATGGGTGTTGTAAGATGCCTTCTCTGTTGGATCTTCCATATGTCCCTGCAAAGGGTTCCACAGGTCCCCTTTACCTAAGGGGGCTTGTGTCACTCAAAACAGGACTGTGGGTGGGGAGGAGTTGACAGACTGAGAAGTTCTGCTGCTTCACCACTCTTACTGCCACAAAGTAGGCCTTAATAAATGCTCTAACCTTTGTTCTGTTCAGTTCCTCTCCATTTGAGGGTCTCTAGACGCCTCTTCTCTCATTTCATCCCTCTCAGCTCCTTTGTAAACCATGGGTTCTGTGAGAGGGGAGAGGTTGCATACTCAGGATCTAATCCAAAACCTCAGTTGCCCCTTTATTCCTAGTGGTAAACAAGGTTGGAAGGACTGTGCAGGAGACTAATAGGAACAATCCTCAGCTCCCGCTGAAATCCCACTGGGTCCATCAGTCACCGGGGTGGATCCGTGTAATAGATCCAGCCTCCTTGCAGTGCATATTGGTGCCAAAGAATCCCATGGGAATCAAGGCATGATCTGACTTTGACAAAGGGGACACCAAAAGCTCTCTCAGCTGAGGATCACATAGCCATTGCTCTAACAGGAATTCCAGATCTGGTGTATCACCAATGTCTGGTGCTAGGCTCTTGATGACCTGGGATAAACCCATGGTGGTCTTGGAACAATGAACTCCTGAGCCGCCTTAGACCTTGTTTTTGTGGAAGGCAGATGGAAAGTCCCCTCCAAGAACTTAATAAGTCTGGGGAAATCCTCTGCTGACGAGGAATGAAGTCAGGAGCTCAGCAGGGAGGTTGCCATGCAGCAGGGAAGCTGGTAGAATAGCAATACTCCCAACTGATATAAATAAAATGTCATAATAACCCTTTGATTCTGGTAGTTGAATACCTCGCTGAAAAACTAAAAACATGTTTCCCAGGGCCTATAGTACCATATTTTGCACTTTTTGTGACAGTATTGATCCTCTGCTGCCATCTACCATTCATTAGTTTCCGACTAACATATTTCATCTGCCCAACAAATGTTGTCTTCATACAAATGGCAGTGAGAGACAACTTCTTGACACGTATATACTAGTAGCTGCTACATCTTTGTGAGAAATAACATGCCAACAAATAGAGAATTAGGTTGAAAAATCAAAAGTTGGCGAAAATATACATTCTGTTAATGGGCAGATAATTAGAAAATAGGCCATGTAACTTCATAATGAGTGCTTGAATTAAGACTATAATACAATGCAATTTAAAGCTTTCGACCCCTTTCTGTGTTTGGTCTGCCTTAGCTTTAGAAACATTTGTTCTTGAATTTTATTTATTTCATAGATTGAGTGATATGCTGCCTTTATTTTTGTGGAACTCCAGGCAGTGCATATAACTGGCTTTTTCCTGCCTAAGGCAGGACTAGAATTCTTATTTATCTGGTAAGCACAATAGTGTGAAAAGTGAATTCTACAAACCTCTATCATCTAAGAGTTATTTTTCTTTCCCATTGAATTAAAATTGTCTAACTTTAATTGCCTTAACATACACAATGTTTTATTTAAGAAAAATTAAAATGGATTATAATACTTTAAACTCTATATCTTAGTGGTAAAATACCTTGCTTGACTATCTAAGGATCAAGGTTTACAGCTGTTGTTTCATGTTAAAGACTAAAATCTGCTTCCTCTTTAACCAAAAACAGCAACAAGGAACGGGAATGATTTTGACAAATTGAAAAAAAAAGTGAAGGGGATAGTAGAACTTAATACTGCTCTTGTGCTTGGTTTCCTCTTTAGTGAGTTTTTATTTGTACGGATAAGACATATGTAATAAATTATTGCAACATATTAGAAAGACCTATGGTAAAGCTTAAACAATCTGTTTATAGAACTAATTGGAGAGGGAAAGTGTGTGTTTTCATGTATATGACAGAATCCTGACAGTTTTCTACATTATCTTGCTGTTACAAATCTGCAATACATCCTCTTTCCATTTTCTAAAGTTTCCAAGTTTAGAATGTTTTAGAACCCTTGTTGTACATGATTTAAAGTATTTCCACACTCTGCTTTACTAGTTAATGATTGTGGGTGCTTATGACATCACTCTTAGAAAACTGTTGTAGGCAGCAGAGTTTTGAGAAATGTGTGAATGTGTATTGTTGTCCATTCTAGAACAAACCCAGGAGAGCATTCAGCGATTTGAACAGCAGGCAGGGCTAAGAGATGTCGGCTACACTCCACACAAAGGCCTCACTGCAGAAGAAACAAAATACCATCGTGTGGCTGAGTCATTTCATGTAAGGTGTTTGGGCCCTGTTGTGCTTTAGCCAGTTTATAACTCTAGTTGGTAGAGATGGTTAGTTATTTCTTTACAAAAGCATGTATGGAGGGAGAGGCATCTATTGCTGTGCGTCTTTGATACATTGTGATTCATTATTTTTGTGTTTTTGTACTTTCTCGGATGTGTGTTTGAAGTGTGCGTAAATGGGGAATGTGCCAAGTTTGTTAATCCAGAACTGGCAAACCCTACAACATTCCATTTTTTTCTTGGACTATGCCATTGCCATATGGGTGTGGTTTGGCATTACCCAGAAGTGAATCTTCTCCAACCAGAAGTGGCTAATGTAGGATGATGGAGCATCTCAAGACATTTCTGGCCTAGATCATTTACTTCTAGAAACCACTTCTCCAGAACTGCATGATCTGTTGGGAAATGGAGTGTTCTGAGTGGGAACACAATGGTCTCTTCTTGATGAAATAGTACATCGTCAATGTAAAAATAGCATTGTGAATTTCTGATTCAGTATCAATGCATTGGCAGTAAAAGTAACACTATAAACCTGTTTCCATGGCATCACAATCTAGCCTATCAGAGGAAGGGCATTTCAACTTTCTATTACAGGTAGTCCTTGACTTATGATTACAATTGAGTCCAAATTTATGTTTGCTAAGTGAAACATTTGTTAAGTGAATTTGCCCCATTTTACAACTTTTCCTGCCACAGTTGTTAGTGAATCGTTGCATTTGTGAAATTAGTAACATGGTTGTTAAGTAACTCTGGGATTCCCCGTTGACTTTGCTTGTCAGAGAGTCACAAAAGGTGACCACATGATTCCAGGACACTGCAACCATCATAAATATGAACCACTTGCCAAGCATCCAAATTCTAATCACGTGACCATTGGGATGCTGCAATAGTCGTAAGTGTGGAAAACAGTCATAAGTTAATTTTTTCAATGCCGTTGTAACTTTGAACGGTCATTAAATGAACTGTTGTAAGCCAAGGACTACCCATATTGGTCTTTTTTCTTCGCTGCCCATTGTAGTTGGGCAACATAGCTAAATAGCAATAGGGAAATGTGGCTTCAAAATGGTATGCTCTGAAATATGTCTACTCATTTACATAAGAACCTACAATCTTGAATGAAGCTTTTTGAAACATACCAACAAACGCTTTCATAAAGTTATAGTGACCAAAAATGTGGAATCATTTTTTATTATTGCTAGGGCCTAGGTAAAATTTAGATAGTTTCCAGATGTTTGTCTGTTGCTTTTCTAACAGAATTTGAAAATGCAAAGTGGAGAGATGGTGAAAGAAGATAAACAGGCCTCTTCTGCCCAGTCCACACCAAGCAGCACTCCTCATTCTTCTCCCAAGCGCTCATACAGGTACATTTCATAAAAGGAAAGTAAAAGAACAAATTATCTGAATGTCTTGATTACCCAGATTCCTTTGCATATTTTAAATATTCATATTAGAAATCTGTTTGATTGTCCTGAGGTGTTCTTACAGCTGAGTATTTTATCAAACACTTCATGTAAAGTTCCTCCAGATTGATGTTCTGTTTTAAATTTACTTGGAGTGAGAGTATCTGTTGAGAAGAGGTGCTAGTGGAAATTAAGTAATCAAGTAAATGCACAAAATCTGTTCCCCCTGTTTTGACTCCTGCTTTTTCATTGAAGAAGCTGGTTTAGTCATGGAGCTTATACTTCAGTTGCTGGTCCTGATCGTGGCCCCGTGGATTCCAACAGTGGTGATAGTGATAAAGTACCATCTGAAAAATGGAGCATTTTTGGACCTAGAGCTCTTCAGAGATCTACTACTGAGTCAGGTACAGTATTATTTTGAGAAAACATGATTTTTATATAAATTAAATAAACTTTACAAAGCTTCAGCATTTAAAAAGTGGCTCTGTAAGGGAGATGGATAGTTTCTAAATGAGATAGATAAATAAAGTATAAATTAAGATCAAAAATCCAATTTGAGATTAGAAAATTAAGGCTAGAAAGAAGAAAGTATACCAAAGGCCTTAAAAATAAAATACAATTTTAAGTAGTTTTGTATTGGAATTGCAGAACTTCTGCCATGTTACAAGGATACAACTTTTTGCAAGACGGTAGCACAGGTCTTAGTGCATTCATGAAACTTACAATGAAGAGCGTTAACTCTGTCTTGAATGTTGAATACTATTTCCCTACTTTCTAGGATTATTATTTCTATTTCCCTACTTTTTAGGATCTAGCTCATGGGTGTCAAACTTGCTGCATCACGTTGTTGTCACGTGATGAATTGCAACATTTTTCCTCTTCGCGGAGCTGGGGTGGGCTGTCCTGATGCATCCAGCCCTTGGGCCGCCAGTTTGACACCCCTGACCTAGCTGATGGTGATGTTTTCTGTATTACAATTTGATAAACTTTTGTAAATGGATTAGAATAGATCTGGAATCCTCAATTATTGAAAAGAAGTGTGTAAATCCCAGGAGAGTATTACTGAGATACAATTATGGGAGAGCAGCAATGTTTCTATTCCCCAAATTTCCTGATCCCAAGGGGAGGTAGGGTAGCGCTGCTTGATAGAATACCTGGTCCTGTTGGAGCTGATTATCTGCAGATGCTGAATTCCTGTGTTGGATTATAGGAACAAGGTATCTTGCTTATATACTGCTCACCTTGCTGGGCAGCAAGATCCTTTCTAGGGCTCATCATAGCTCTGGAGTGTCCTTGACTGCTAGTGCTATGGATATTTATGCTCTTGAGAGGGTTGTGGATTTCGTGGTCACAGTGCAATCTTGTGTTTGTTCCAACTAATCTCAGGTTTGAGACACATTGGCAGCCATATGTGAGAGCTTGTTTTTTCTGCATGGACATCTCATATCAAATTGGAGAATATGAGAGCTAGTCTTTGCCTGGCCAGGTCAGACTCTGGTGATTACAACACTCATTTTTCTAAAAACTTCCAGAAAGGGTGCTCTTAAAATGACCTGCCCCAGATGTCTGATAGACCTGGAGGCACTCCAGAATGTTCTCATCAATCTCATACTCAATTGTTTTCAATGTCTGGTTGATCTCTGGAATATGGAAGTGAATATGGAGGGCATTCAATGCAGTGACCATTCATTGAATAGACAAGAGTTTATGCATGGTAATAAAGATGATGATATGATAAAGCCATTCACTTTTTACTTCTCTACTCTGATTGTGTTCTTTCAGTTCTATTTAAGGTGCCCTGTGCCTGTTTGGGATGCAGGAAGATTTTTCTGAGCATCACTTCAAAATTTTGAGGAAACATGTTAATAAAATCATTACACATCATTCCCTCTGGCTTGGACTGTGGTTAAATCAGAGGGGGTGATTGGACTCTGAATGATAGGATTATCTCAGGATGAACTTTGCCATGTGTGCTAGATCTATGTCCTTCTTGGTTCTTTTGGAGAACATTGTGGGGAAGTAAAAGTATAGATATGGAAGATAGTTAATGTCTCCTAGAGGTAGCAGGTAGTCTTCCATCTTGAGGAGGCGGATGCTTTCTTCTGAAGCCTTTTCTGGATCTTGATAGATTGACAACTATTGAGATGTGGGGGCACAATGGTTAGAATGCAGTAGCGCAGGGCTAACTCATTGCTCACTTCAGGAGTTTGAGTGGCTCAAAGTTGACTCAACCTTCCATCCTTCCAAGGTCGGTAAAATAAGGACCCAGATTGTTGGGGGCAATATTCTGACTCTTTAAACCACTTAGAGAGGGCTGTAAGGTCCCCCCCAATAGCACTGTGAAGTGCTATTGCTATTTCTACTTCTTGGTCTCCAACTTTCCCTTTTTGAGGATGGTTGCAGAAAGTCGTGGGGCTCCAAATGCAGGTTGGTTGGCCTGGTGGATGCTGAGATGCTGTATGAGATCAAGGTGAGAAGGATGGAGTCTGTTTGGAAATATCATGGCAAGTTATCTTCAAAGAGTTGGAAAATTCCTGGTAACTTTGGAACAGCTGTTATCAGACATTGTTAGCAATATTTTCCTCTCCAAATTGATCTTTGCTGAAATTCTAGTAGTAGCAATGGTATATATTGAAGCATTTATTGTAATCTGTTTCATATTACTGTACATTGTTTTAGGAGGCTTTGCCATTCAGACATATAAGGGTGCTCAGAAGCCATCTCCAATGGAACTGATGCGTATACAGGCCACTAGGATGTCAGAGGACTCTGCAAATTTTAAGCCTCCCAAGATGGATATTCCACCTATCGAAGAGAAGAGGCGGTCTTCACATTCTCACAATCTTAAACCCCGGGACTTGAATGTGCTTGCTCCCTCTGGCTTTTAGGAGTATTTCTACTTAAGTGGTGCAAGTATGTTCTTGTATGTTCTCTGATCTCATCTTTAAGTAGATTCCATTCCACTCACGAATCCCTGATTTAAAAAGGTGACTCTATGCCTTCTAGCCCAGAATTATAAATGGGGGTGAAATGAGATCTGGAAAACTTTCTTAATTTATTGCCTTTTCCCTCTCAAATGGCTCTCTGGGTACACTATAAAGCAAAGTGATCTACCACTGAAATTTGGACCACAAGTTGTGTGCTGCTTTACATAGGTAAACTTTAAAAAATATAGCTATAAAATAGTTGAAACTGTTTTGAATATATGTGCTCCCATTACTAAATTGTAGCCATGGTTCTGTGAAAAGACTGAAATAGAATATCACTGAAACCAGACATTCCCATACTTCCTTGGGAGGCAAAGGATTCCAAAATAAAATTACTTAATAGAACATGAGAATATTTTTAATTCAGCTGTTCAGTTTGTGAATGTTACAATTAATGATTGATTAAATGTTTATTTTTACAGATTTATATTTTAGAATCATTCACTGAAAGATAAAAATATGTAATATATGCTTTAAGGCAAATGAGCATATATATTATTTCTGTTTCTTTAGTCTAATGTTAAATGTCAAGTGAATGGTATTTTACAGCAGTGGGATGAAAACTTATAAAGCATTCCTCTACAATAAAACCTTTTTTCTTGAATAGCAAATTTTCACGAACCCTTTTTATGTCCTAAATTGGTCCTATACCTTATTCAATCCAAATTCCTATAAATTGTGGGTGCTTCTATATCTAAGTGACGTAACACTCCATTTTTCTTCACAACAGCTGCATCTTGGACCTGTATTGCTTTGATAGTGCTGTGTCAGCTCATCACTGCTTGTACCCAGGAGACAGTGATCTTGCTTCTTGGTTAATGTTTAATTTATTTGGTAGTGTTTTACGCTCATGTCTCTATGCCTAATACTTTTGCAGAATAAACAAACATGAATTAACCTGGTGATTAGTATGGCTATTATTGCACAGTGTACAAGTACTACTTGTTTAATTACTTCTTCAGTGATCGTTCAAAGTTATGACTGCATTGAATGAGTATGACTGGTCCTCAAGGTCCTGGCCATCCTAGCACCCACACAGTGTTGTGATTTGGGACTTGGCAGCTGATTGACATGACAGTTGCAGTGTTCTGTGGTCTTACAATTACCATTTGTGATATTCTCTGCCAGCTTCCCATGAGAAAAGTCAATGGGGAAGCCAGTAGGGAAGGCCACAACTGGTTCCAGTAAGTCACTCCCATCCTCCCCCACCCAGAGCAGCCATCCGCAGCCCTGCCACATTCACAGGCCACCTGCACGCCCTCCCTTGCATGGCAACAGCCTCTTTATCTGCCTACTGGCTGCTTACAACGGCCTGGAACCTGTTTAATGACCTGTGATCCTCACTTAATGATGGCACGGGGAGTTCTGGGATTGCTGTCACTAAGCAATGTGACCACATTGCTTAGCAACAAAAATTCTGGTCTCAAGTACTAAAATAAACTGAGAATTAACTGTAATAGTAAGCTCTCCGCCCTGCATGTAAGATTTATTTCAGAGCATGACCTATTATTGGTGGATCTTACATATAAATATAGTCTTACATATCTATCTAATCTCCTATAACCTGTAATCTTTTTTTTTAAAAAAGACCAAGCTCGTTCCACTTTTCAGTTAGTAAAATTTATTATAAAATTGTATAAAACAAATAGAAATAAAACTAGACAAAACTGGTATTAACCGAAATGTAGAATAAACTTGACAAGTCCTTGACTTATCCAGTGTCTGAGAATACAGTGCAACTTACTGCAATCAAAGAAAGCTTCAATTTTTTTTTTAAAGACCTTATTAGAAAGAGGTCCATCTGTCAGTATCCAATAGTTCTCCTGGAGTTAGATATCCATAGCAGTGAAAAGCAATACTTGGAGTAGTTCAATCTTTTCTTTGATGGGGGAGGGAATTTGCTGTCCCAGAATTTGGCAGAGCTTTTTCTGGATGCTGTAAATGCTACGCTTTATTTTATTTTTTTCAATATAATCATTTGACTGTAGTTTGGGTTTAGCAGCTTTGATAATTAAATTAATACGTTCATACACTGAGTCTCTTAAGTGCCCTATAAAAAAGGGTAGAAGCAATTGTTAGTTATAGTTTGTTTACCATAAGACTGATACTTTAGTTGTAATTACCCATGTAGTTGTAACAGGAAAATCTCAATTTTATCCCATGTTAATTGATATTAATGTGTGAAAAAAATAAGTTTTTTTAAAAATGCTAAAATATAGCAATATTTGTTTCATAAATAATTGTTTTGCATTAACAAGTGATGGCAAACCTGTAAGGTTGCACACAAAATAAAAATAGTGTTATACTGATGCACCAAACAACTCCATTTGGAACACTGAATTCATAGAAGCAAGGAGTCAGTGTCAGCCTAAACAGCTGTCAGCAAGTAAATCCATCTAGTACAAATAAAAAGATTACAGACTTGAGGCTTCTTCCAAAAACGCATGTATGCTTGTATAATGCACGACCCTTATATTTAGTGTTGCTGCAAGAGTTAACAGTTTTTGTCTTTGGCAGACTCCAACTCAATTGCAAAGAAAAAGTACACAATGGATTGTTTACTTTTGCAGTTGGCTTACTGCCTTAAAGAGAAATATTGAACAAATGGAGACCTTTGAAGTTCCCAAAAGCAAATACTTTTAAAACGGAAACAAACCTATCAAGCAAGTAATTTTTGTCTTGAATAGTTTTTAATCTCATATATTTAACCCTACTTTTGACCTAATTTCTCCCATTATGGTCAGATCACTCCCTGATGAGTATCCAGTTGTCTGGTACCACCCCACTCCATAAGGAGGCTGCACATATTACATTGGCCTGCTTCAGATGACTGATGGACCTGACTGGGTTCCAGAGGGAATTTGGGGTTCTGGAAAATTTGGTACATGGTCCAGCCGAAGCCTTCCTGCCTGCTGGAATGAGAAAATGGCTGTGGCTATGGACCAGATTACACCCAAGTAGCCTCTACATTCACGACTCTCCGAATTCTCACTAGATTTATGGTTGAACTAAAGAGAGATGAAGAGTACTGCTGCAAATGATAAAGAGTGAGGATGATTAAACATGAGCTAGAGCTGCTATTAGAGACTCTCTTGTATTAAAGATAGCAAAAAGTAATTATTTTTCTGCTATTATTACATCTACAGATAGTCCTTCCGTGGCCCTGTTCAAGTCACTGTGAGAAATATGCTGCATATCTAGTGAATAAAGTTACTTGGATATACTGTGTTGAGTTCCAGCCTTGGAGCAGGGCCGTTGGGAGTTATGGGGAACTGGTTCTTGCATAGTAATTTGGGAAGAGTTTCATCCTGTCAAGCCTGAGAAAGAGGACAGAGTTCTTATAACTGTTTGATCACTTCTGTGTTAGATCCATACCCTTCTTGACTGGTCGGGAGACAGTGGAGGATGGTGGGAGGGGGGGGGGGGTGGGGGCTGGTATACTGTGGTCCATGGGGTTGCAAGGATTTGGACACGATTTGGCAACTGAACAACAAAACAAACTCGACACATGCAAGATCACTATGTGACCTGCAGTGGCTCACAGGTTACCCAAGGGACCATCTTCCAGTGTTTCTACCTGTCCAATACAGTCTGGATGGGCATGCTCTGAGTCCCTAAGTGAAGAAATGTCTGTTTGTGGGATCTACAGTTTGTACCTTTCTGCAATACCACTTGCCCTCTGGGACATTCTCTCTTCATGTATTAGGATGGTCTTGAGAATCTGTTGGCCTTTGAAGAACTGGTTATGTGTACTGGCGAGAGGGCCTGAATGTGTGAAGGAGTCTGTTTCCTCGTTATCGTTATATGTGTGTATTATACTTTTCTTGACTTCTATTTATTTTTTGCATTGGGTTTTTAATTGGTTTAAATTGATTTTATGATTGTTCATCATCTGGGGTCATTTGTTTGAGATGGACAACCATGTAGGTAAGTAGGTAGGTAGGCAGAGATAGATGACAGATTCTAGATTTAGAGATAGAGATGATAGATAGATAGATAGATGATAGATAGATAGATAGATAGATAGATAGATAGATAGATAGATGATAGATAGATAGATAGATAGATAGATAGATAGATAGATAGATGATAGATAGATAAGGTTAGACTTACTCCAACCAATGGTAGCAGATAAAAAGATATGCCTGACATTGGCTCATGCCTCTCCGATGGTTTGAAAGAATTATGAACAAACAGAAATAAGCGAATTGCAAAGCACCGGGACTTAAAATTGCATGAAAGGAAATACACCTCAAAAAAATAAAGGGAACACTTAAACAACACAATGTAACTCCAAGTCAATCACACTTCTGTGAAATCAAACTGTCCACTTAGGTAGCAACACTGCTTGACAATCAATTTCACATGCTGTTGTACAAATGGAATAGACAACAGGTGGAAAGCACAGGCAGTTAGCAAGACATCCCCAATAAAGGAGTGGTTCTGCAGGTGGTGACCACAGACCGCTTCTCAGTTCCTATATTGTCTGGCTGATGGTTTGGTCATTTTTGAATGCTGGCAGTGCTTTCACTCTAGTGGTAGCATGAGACGGGGTCTACAACCCACACAAGTGGCTCAGGTAGTGCAGCTCATCCAGGATGGCACTTCAATGCGAGCTGTGGCAAGAAGGTTGGCTGTGTCTGTCAGCGCATGGAGCATGGAGGCGCTACCAGGAGACAGGCCAGTACATCAGGAGACGTGGAGGAGGCCGCAGGAGGGCAACAACCCAGCATCAGGACCGCTACCTCCGCCTTTGTGCAAGGAGGGACAGGAGGAGCACTGCCAGAGCCCTGCAAAATGATCTCCAGCGGGCCACAAATGTGCATGTGGCTGCTCAAACGGCCAGAAACAGACTCCATGACATGGTAAGAGGGCCCGACGTCTACAGGTGCTTATAGCCCAACACCATGTAGGATGTTTGGCATTTGCCAGAGAACACCAAGATTGGCAAATTCTCCACTGGCGCCCTGTGCTCTTCACAGATGAAAGCAGGTTCACACTGAGCACATGTGACAGACGTGACAGGGTCTGGAGACACTGTGGAGAATGTTCTGCTGCCTGCAACATCCTCCAGCATGACCAATTTGTCAGTGGGTCAGTATTGGTATGGGGTAGCATTTCTTTAGGGGGCCGCACAGCCCTCCATGTGCTCGCCAGAGGTAGCCTGACTGCCATTAGGTAGCAAGATGAGATCCTCAGACCCCTTGTGAGGCCATATGCTGGTGCAGTTGGCCCTGGGTTCCTCCTAATGCACAACCATGCTAGACCTCATGTGGCTGGAGTGTGTCAGCAGTTCCTGCAAGACAAAGGCATTGATGCTATGGACTGGCCCGCCCGTTCCCCATACTTGAATCCAATTGAGCACATCTGGGACATCATGTCTTGCTCCATCCACCAACGCCACGTTGCACCACAGACTGTCCAGGAGTTGGGGGATGCTTTAGTCCAGGTGTGGGAGGAGATACCTCAGGAGACCATCCGCCACCTCATCAGGAGCATTGTCAAGCATTGCAGGGAGGTCATATAGGCACATGGAGGCCACACACACTACTGAGCCTCATTTTGACTTGTTTTAAGGACATTACATCAAAGTTGGATCAGCCTGTAGTATTTTTTTTCCATTTTAATTTTGAGTGTAACTCCAAATCCAGACCTCCATGGGTTGCTAAATTTTATTTTCATTGATAATTTTTGTGTGATTTTGTTGTCAGCACATTCAATTATGTAATGAACAAAGTATTTAATAAGAATATTTCATTCATTCAGATCTAGGATGTCTTATTTTTGTGTTCCCTTTATTTTTTTGAGCAGTGTACTTTATTTTTATCTAAAGCTGGGGACAATATTTTGAGTATGGCACATTTTCCTCCAAGCTTGTAATACTTGAAATAGCCATTTCAGCTTAAACTATTTTATGTATCTCTGCTAATTCATGCAAGATTGTCCTAATACCTCTAGCTGACAATATTGATCCCTAATCAGACAGTTATAAAAAGAAGTTTATGAGCCATAAGCAAGTTGCTTACCTAGAACTATTGTACGGTAACTCAGCAATAATAAATTCATTTGATGAAGTATCTCATCCCATCTCTGCCACAATTTTTCCCTGTCCTGTGAATAGAAGGATTTTTATTCAGGTTTTCACAAATGCTGCATACTGATATTTTAAAAGGGCTTTGAAATACTATATTTCAAAGAACTTTCAACAACAACATATTAAAACCTATGCATAAACATTGTAGGGATGCACACCACATTTTGGGTTTCAGTTCTATTAATTTTAAATGAAGGAAAAAAGCACTAAATTACCTGATACGTTAGCAGCAAGGAAACGTGGTTCAGAAAATGCAATATTTTTGTCAAAGACAAAGGCTCTTTGGTTGGTATTGAGCAGTTATGTTGGAAAATGAGCTCCAACACTTTGCATCGTAGAAGGTGACAATCCATGGTGCTCAGAAAGATGTCTCTGCAAGTTGACACATTGGAAAGAGTAAGTTTTATGTTCTGCACTAGTTTGGGAGCAGAAATTTTAAAGATGCTCACGTCTAAACCAAAAGAACAATATAAGGAAACAAAGATGTCAAATGAAAGAGTCTTCTCTGAGTCTGCATCATTGGATGAAATGAAACTTGTCTGGACAAAGACAAACCAGCAGCATAGATGGTCTCAATTCTCTGTGGATTAGAGAAAATTTCACGCTCTTTTTAAGACCCCTGAAGCTTGCCTAAAAGGTTTGAACACTCTTATAAACTTCAATTATTGCCGAGAGAAAAATCAAAATATGCTATCCTGCTGCAGATGTTTACTTTGATACCTAGGAAATGTTCAGTCAAGGTTGGGGTAGATTACATTCTCAGCTTATCTGCTTGATTTCAGTTTGATAAACAGGACCTCAACACTCACAGCCTGAAGACATGTTATTAATGTGATGTGCTGTACTATCAAAATGGCTGATTTTTTAATATTAAAACTGTAGCCATAAGACTAATGGAATTTTTACTAAGTGACCTGGGGATGAAGTTGAAATGTGCTACTATGTAATTTAGGCTTCTATACTACAACTTGGAAATTTTACAACCTACATCCAGTCCTAAAACCACCTCAATAGTACTCTTTCCAAGATACTAGGTATACAACATAGTTCCACAGAGATACTATTAGCAAAAAAATGCATAAGTTGTAGAATGGACATTACTTGGAAAATTTAAGCCTGAATTTTTAGAATGTTGCCTCAAAAATTCCCCAGATAGTATCTTCCATTTTATGTTGAGCTAATTTAAATAGCTTAAAAGATCTTAAAGATGCCTTTCTTTAGAACACAGCCAAATGTCAACAATATTTTCCCTAAGTACTTTAAAATTAATTTTTAACCAAATTGTTCCTTATTGCCATGGGAATGAAGCAAACCAGTTTTCTTCACTTGGCCATCCTTTAGGTGTGCTGAACTGCACCCAAGCATGGCATAGCGGAAGTTGCAGTCAAACCACCTGGCAGGCAGACTGCAAAACACCCATTTAGATCCTGTATACTGGATGGATGAGGGAACCAGATAAATTCTGGCAAATGGATTAGTAGTCTGTTAATTTGTGTTATCAGAATATATTTTCTAAATTAAAGAGGGATGTTACAGAAGTATGTAAAACTGAGCAAGGGCTTTGGATTGCTGGAAGGTTATTTTTTCAGTCATACACTATTAGATTTTGGCATGATTCAATATATCTGAATTATAACAAATTCAGACCAGTAAAACATGTACTTTTTCTGTGAAATGTAATTCCAGAATTCATTGCCACAAAATATAGTATTTACCGACAGGATTCATTGATAAATGATGGGGAAAAAATCAGTCATTAGATATAATCCATACATGGAGATAATGCTCGTCAATAGTCTCCCTTCATCTTCCATGGATCTTTTTTTCCCCCAAGTTGGGTGAGAGAAATTCAAAAGTATTCATGGTGGTCATTTGAGAAAGTATTTAGAATTCACAATTAGCAAAGTGATCAGTGACTTATTTCTCCTGGCCACCTTTTTGTAGACTTTTACAAGCTCCGCTATCATTCTGCTGTATGTTTGGTTGACCAGCCTCTGTGTGTTGTGAAAGGTCTTTTAAAATTTATTTTTTTACTAGGGAGGGATGGGAATCTAGGGACTTCCCCACATGGCTCTTCTCTAGTTCTTAGTGACCTTTATTGCTGATAATGGTGATAGAGATACTTGATATTAGTTTAGCCACCTCTGGAGATCCACAGGTTTCCAAGGAATCCTATATTTACAGCATACAAATGCATACACCAGAGAACATGTAGTTAGCTTACATTCTTTCTGTATTTAAAAAAGTAATTTGGCATGGCTCTCCAACTCTGCGGTAGATCTTTAATCTTCTTCTTTTAGAAAAAGCATAAATTCAACACTTGCTCTTTGTTCAGAAATACCTGACCGATCTAGGAATATTAATGAGAACACGGCTAATGCAGAGTTGCACATCAATACAGAAAAAGTAAGTGTTGAGGAAGAGTGAATTCAATAGTTTATTTATCCCTTACCTTTGGCCCCGCTTGGGAATATTCAACAAGGAAGCAAAAATCACATCTGCAATTTTAGTGGCATTGCAATTTGGAGATTTGTCCACTTCAACTGCTATTGAAAGCATCCGTTGTAGAAGTGCTGCTTCCCTAAATCAAGGAAACAAAATGTTACTCAAATTCAAAAGTGGAAGTGTGAAACCACAGGCTAAGATAATCATCACAAACTTAAGGTCATACT